ACGCTTCACATCTTTATCAATAGTAAATGTCGAATAAAGAGACAGAAATTTTCTTAGTTTCAACCAAAATATGGATGATAGTAGTCGTAACATTGAAAAATACAGATGGGGTACAAAATGCGTACCTCAGAGGTACAAAAGGCTCGAATGGGGTACGGCTGGCAACCCTGGAATAGACTAAAACTAAAGTTGTATCTTTTTCCTGTTAAATTCGAAGAGAAATGAACGTTTAAAATGAAAATTTAGATGTTTTGATGATAATATGTTGTTCAACTCCAGTTGTATTCTCACTACACTAACTACCAGAAAAGATAGTTTAATCGCATAAAAGTATAGATAGATCAGTACGAACATAGCTCGAAGCAGCGATAAGTAAAATCAGCTTTCAACATATAAAACTATATAATTAAGTTAAAAAGAATTAAAAGGTGTATACTAAATTCGAAACAGAAAAAGAAGAAGAATTCCAGAGAGCTGGAAAATTCTATGGAAAATACTTTTTACGAATTGTCCGAGAAAATGATTCCGTTAGATGTTGGAATTCGGCATCCAACATTTCCAAATGAGAACGGTAAAGAACGAATTCCGAAAAGATGAAAAATTGTTTTTGAGAAAAAGACAATTTTCTCGAACAGTTGAACGCGTTCTCTACCATTCCTTTTTGAAACGGTTTCCACTTTTTAAAAAAATGTCTTTTTCTAAAAAAACGTTTTCTCTGAAATTGGAACGCGTTCTACACTGTTTTTTTTTCTATGATTATTTTTCACTGATATGCTATTCAATTCTATCTATTAATCAATAAATACTTTATTCATAGTAAAATAGCATATGTTGAACCGTTTTACGATGTAAGTTAACCTATCATTTTCTTTGAAAAATTCCGTTCATTTTTTTTCTGTCTCTTGAGAGATGATAGAAATAAAATATGTCGACTACATAATGAAGACATATCTTATGATACTGTCTTTACTCAGGAAGTCATTTCAGACAAGTATGTCAAGTTTGTGGAAACTATGACAAGAAGAATCTACTCATGTTTTGTTACGTTCGTTTTTTTTTTTCATTAACTGTTATGAAGCTTCTCATTTTCTTTCTGAATTTATGATGATTGCATCAAAAATAAAAAATTCAGTATTACAGTCAATATAAACGTTACTCTGAGAGTATAGAGCAATCTCTCAGTTTCAACTGATACTTTTTTTTCAATTAAATTTCAAACTTTCGATCTAAATAAATTAATAATAACGTGAATAAAATATTCTTTATTTTTAATCTAAAACTGAATATCTAATTCGTATTTTTCATGTATTCTTTGCGGTAAATCTTTATTACTATGTCAAGAGAAGTATATTAAAAGAGCTAAGATATTTATTTTCATAGATAGCATGTTTTTATATTATTCGTGTTTGATAGCTAATGTTCAAAACAAATTTACAATCTTATACGATTAGTTGACTTTCTTAGTGTCTGCTATTTCTTCTTTATTGCGGAGAAAATGTAGTATGTGAGTGAGAAACAGCAAGTAAATCTATTAATATTATATTCCATCAAGACACCATGTTTTTACTGTGTCGATGAAACATAGTTCATACAGAAAATTTATTTTAGACTATAGACAACTTGAATGAAGATCAAATTTTATAACATGATTTTCTAACAAAGAGAAAAGAAGTAGTAACGCCTAGTTCATACTCTATTTCGATAGAAATAAATCACAAATACTGTTTGATAAGTTCCATCATAGTTCAATTAGTTCTATTCCAATGTATTGCTTACATGTTTCAAGATTAATTTGTTTAAAAAAATCGATAGTTCAAGTAAAACTTTTTTCCACTGATTCATAAATATCCGCAATCATTTTTTTGTAGCTTTTATTTATAATTAATTACTGTTTCTTTTTTTTTTATATATGCAGCAATATAAAACTGATAAAATTTACTAATATCGAATTAATTTTTAGAAAAATCCAAACAAATATCACCGTTTTTCTTCTATAATAACAGATCAAATCTAATCCATATAATATGAAAAACTTTCTGTTGACATTTATTCTATTATCAGCGATAATTTCAATTCATGGAACATTATTCGATTCCTTTCATTGTAAAGCAGCCACTTGCCATGAATTTTATTATGTAAGTTACTGTTTTGTTTTAGTTCGAAAGTAAAAAAAATACGCAGTTTTACATAATTCTAGGGCTTAAAGAATTTCCCCAATCAAAAACACTATGTTAATGTATGTTATAATACTGTACGGTCTATTGAAAATATATCAAAGAGGTATGACAAATGTTTTGATGAAAGAACAGCAAAATTTAATCCACCATGTATTTGTAAGTGAAAATTGGAATAAGAACAGATCAGAAAGAAGATATTTATTTTTTCCATCGATAGATGCATTAGCAACAACGATGAAAAGGTGTATAATTGGATTGAGCGGTGTACCAGAATATTATGCACGATACCATTGTGGTTATAGGCTTATGCAAAATTGTGCTAAAAATATTGGTCTTGAACGATTTCCATATAACATCGAATATCAACGACTTGATGATGCTTAAATCTAAAGAAAATCAACAAGAACACTTCGTTTGTTCTTTGTCATAGTTTTGTTTCTTTTCCACATCCTAGTACCGTAGAACAGATCTACATTTGAAAAACAAAGAAGAAAAACAATAATTGAGTTTATTTTCCAAACATTACTACAGTTGAACCATATAGAAACACATGTTTTCTATACAAATTAATAGAAAAAGGTTATGTATCGATAAAAGTTAACAAGTAGCCTTTTCTTCAATGTTTGCAAGTTAATATCACGTTGATGATATTCTATGAACGTTTTAAATTAATTATTGAATTTTCTTTCCATGATAAAAAGAAAAATCACGAATAATTTTAGTAAGAAATAAACTAAATAAAAGTTAGAAATCTATTAGTTTTGTTATCATTCATCATATCATATCCTCTCATGTACTTTTATCTTCTGTAATGAATTATTCATATTTTACAAATGAAACATACTGAAAAACAAAACGAGAACAGTGTGACAATGTCTTTAGATATGGATCATATTTGAAATAAAATGTTCAATACATTCCTTCTGGAAAACTGAAAACCTTAGCTGTACAAGAAAACATTCAGCACTTGACCAACTCTGTTTAATTCCTTATCTGACACATGCGTAGGTGATTACTAGGATAGTTTTAACTTCTAGTTGATGTTTGGTCATTTTCAGATTTACGGAAAAAATGCATTTAGCAAACTTCTCCGGTAGTATATCATTATTCGAAAATAAATCGATAATTGAAAGTTTCAACTTGAAATTTTACACATGTATATTCTTTCATTCGTTTTGAATATTCGATTGTTCATATGTTAATTTCTCAAATTACAGTTTAGCATACAATTATACTGACTCATCTATATTTCAGTAACTAGAAAAGTAAATCTAATAAAATTCTCTTCATAAAAGTGTCTAATAGAGAAGTTGATGTGAACGATACTTTGATTGAAATCTGCATAATATTATTTATTTTTAGAAATTGAAATATTGCTGAATGAATCCACAAAAAATTCATAATATCAGGAAAAACTAAAAATGAGTTAGAATCCTATGGAAATTGCACTACTTAGATGATATCAGAAGTATAGGAAAAACATACGAACAAGTGAAGTGTGTCACCTGAGAGCTCTCTCCTTGTTAAGACATCNNTATTTAATCATTAGGCCAAAGCCCTAGAAGTAAGAATTTCGCTTTATTTAAAATCACTGAACACTTAGCTTGAAAATCTGCTATGTACCTTTCTCGGTTCATGTTTTATCGTTGAGCAAATTGAAGTTTTCTATTAATAGACGCTGTTGAAAATCTATACATCAATAAATGTGTTAAAACTGCTATCATTTATCGGTGCTTTTATGATCACAGGCTGTTTCGATAACAAAATGATATACATATTTAGAATCAGCGTATGAAACTACGTATAATCGAGTAGTTTTNTCTTCAAAAAACGACCCTGAGGCCCCCCTCAAGGCTTTTTCTCGAAAATTTTGCCTGTGCCCCTCCCCAGAGTCGTTTTTTGAAGAAATTAATTTTTTCAAAAAAATACATGAATCCACGTAGTTTTATACGCTGTTTCTAAATAAGTAAATCATTTTGTTATCAGGATAACTGGTGACGATAGAAGCAGCCATAAATAATAGCAATTTTAACGATTTATATGAATTTTCGACAACACCGAGATAAGTCTAATTAGCTCAACAATAAAATACAATCCGAGAAAAGTAAATAGCAAATTTTCAAGCTAAGTGTTCAGAGATTCTAAACAAAACAAAATTCTTCTTTTTAGATTTCGGACTTATCGATTAGATAGACATACCAGAAATTCTTCCAAAAAACTCTTCAAATTGTTGCTACGCTGTAGGTGGTTTTTACCTGAAATAACTTCGTAATCAAATAAATGATATTTTTGTGATCAACTTTTCGTGCTGATCAAGAATCGGAAATCATATTTTCGATTTAAACAATCATACAGAATATACTCAACTGATCTTGAATCTGATTGAACACAGAAAACTATCCAATGTCAATATTTGTGGTATCGAGTAGCTATTTTCGCCCAACTCTTATCTAAATAAGCAATACCATAGAAGATGCAGAATTCCAAGGGCTTTCAGAAAATATATGAACTATTTTGGGATGGCATGATTCGACGTGGCTATAGTCGAAATACTGAAAAGTCCACATTTTAACCAAACGTAATTTTGTCTGTATATTAGAATTATCTATTGATATATGGCGCTGGATAAATAAGCCAATCACTACATTTTGTAGAAAAAAGATTTCTCTATCTTTTGAGATGTTCCAGAAGTCAAACAAATGAGCAGAAGCTGAGGAAAATATAAAATACTAAGGATACCCTAAAAACTTCACTTTGTTACCAAATCTAAATGGCGTATAACTTGCAAACGCTGGTATTTTTCTCCGACACATCGGAAAGATCTAATATTTTGGATTCACTTATGGTTTAACTAGACCTTCGATTTTAGATAGTTAAACCGAAAGTCAAAATTTTACCGGCGGCCGACTCCTAGTAAAGTTGCTAAGTGGGTTCCACGGACCCTCTCTTAAATACTACAGAATCATTTTAATCTTTTTAATAATCTCACATCGAACAGATTCATTTATCTTGGTGTGCTACTAGATTTAAATGTTAGTTATGGACACTTACTTTTGAGGCAATGCCTTCTAATTTAACTCTCAGAAATCATTGCACACGCTCAAATTATCCACGGTCTATTATATACAATGATGGAGTGATCCTCGAGTCCTTGTTTAGATAATCCTTCAATGAAATACGAATTATATGATCGGTTTTTCTCGATGAGAAATTGAGAAATCAAATAGTAGGCATGTAGTTTCATAAAATTATGCTTCTTGAACATATTTTTCAAGACAATAAAGCTTAAATGTAAAAAGTCCATATGCTTGACTGCATTCTTTCTGAAACCAAACCGTCTGTTTCTTCGTATTACCTGTACTGATAGAGTTTCATTATACTGGAAATATTCTTCTGTAAATAATCAATAACGCCATGTGCTCAACCGTATTGGTGTGCATCATATGACATGATCTACAAACCGTGTCAAACACATAGACCTTTTTTTTTGAAGCATCTGATAAATTTTCTTATATATTTAATATAAAACTCTTATCCACTATAGCAGAAGTTGTCAATCAGATAAAATCTAGGTAAACATAATCATTGTTAGTGAAATGCGAAAACCCGTGCACTAGAGAGAATTTTATAACTGTCCAGGTTCTGGAGGTACGCTAAATCTAATGCCTGGATTTGACTGCCATTGACTGCAGTTGTGTTTGGATTTTATAAAAATCTGGATTTATACCCTCATTATTCACCAAATCGTGTCAAATCCATACCAGTGGCTGAAGTTATATTCGGTGCATCCATTCCAGGTTCGAGAAATTAGCGACATAATTGATCTGAATTGGCTGGCATCGATGCTATTATTTTGTCATACTTCACAAGTGTTTTAAATGATGAAAACAATAGGAAAAACAATGCTTATTCGATAGACAATAAAGATAATTAGAGAAGCGGACTGATAGTGAACCATAAAAATATACATATTTGATAAATCAAGAGAAAACGATGAATTTTGCAAAAGAACACTCACGAGTCAGTATTCAACGATCATACTTTCATAATTAACGCTTCATTTCTTTTCGATTAATATTTAATCTCATCATCAATCTGTAGTTCAATCCATTGTTAGTAACATATTTCGATTGTTCTGAAAATATCTTCTGAATATATTTCCCGTTTTTATTTTTTTTTTATAAAACTCATTTTGACTTCTTTATATTTATTCCTAATACATAATAACGTGTACTTAATCTAACTTTTTTGAAGTTGATAAAAAAAAACCAACATGCTAACGAAAGTAATACAAAAGTGAAAACGAGACAAAAATCATTGTTGTTTCTTGGTATTCGTTTTTATTTTATTCGCTTCTTTTGTGTAAAGTTCGGCAAGACCAAACTCATCAATTAAGTAATCAGCTGTTAATAAACGTTGTGAATCTAAGACTCGTCCTTTAATATCAATTTGTGGTCGTCGTTTCACTTCTTTTCCATCTTGAAATAAAACAACAGATGGTAATTGCTTGGAAAATGTTGATGTATCTATTTTAAATTTCGTTGCTTCAGTTGGATATCGATTAACATCAAATTTAACAAATTTAAATGTTTTTAAATCGCCAAAACGTGTTGATAAATCAACAAAAACGCTTGAAAAATTTTGACATGGAGGAGACCATGGAGCATAAAAACAAACAAGCCACATTAAGCGAGGATCAGCACGAATTTCATTATCTAAATTATTTGCACGATAATGAAATATATTTGTTTTTCCCGATGGTTCAGGTGGAGGGAAAAAAAGAAAATGAAGTAGGCATACAATGATATAGAATATCAATAAAACATAGGAATCTTCACGATAGAATAAAAGGCAATTAGCCATTTTTGAGTATTTACAAACATTATCAATGTAATGTAACCATGTTAATGCTTTTCGTCCACGGATTGTTATTATTGTTGCTAAAAGTAATAGAACTTGAGTATCTTGTGTTGTTATTGCATCGTTCAAGAAAATATATGCACTTAAAGATCCAGGAAGCAATTGTTTCAGTAGAAGATAACTAACAGATAAGATTATATTGATTGAATAATGAGGATGAATAAGAATACGAAGATTAGATAATGATATTGGTGCAGGCATCTGAAATGGTTCAAATATTTTTTATGCGAATATACAATTTGAATGAATAAATGTTTTGTTTAGTAATTTATTAGAATTTTAGCAATTCAGTAAAAAATAATTAAGATTTTTACTATTTCTCAGAAAATTTCTTTGTGTTTTACATGAATCCAAACAATTGATCTAAACAAAAAGATAATTATATGCGATACTTTTGCAAAGCAAAAAAACAGAGAAGAATTCAAACAAGATAAGTTTAACAATTATTTTCATTATTATAGTTGTATTTCTTCATAAAAGTCAGAAGATATCAATTTTGTTTGAAAACTAAATTGTACTTATCAAAGATTTTATCTTCGAACTTAAAATTAGATTAGGTCTCTACTATTCATTTATGGTCTGGAACGACATAAAGCGTTTAGATTAGTTAAGATAAAATGTCACAATTTTGCAAGAATAGTTTCCATTCACAAAACTATTCTGTTCTATTGATTGAAAAAAATTTCGTCTGATTTATGATTGTATTCATTCGTAAGTAAAACCTGCTTGCCGTGTTGAATGCCTAGATTTTAAAAAGCGACTTATTTTTCTCGAATATCAATACATTATTGCATTACAATTGTATTTTAATTTAATCGTTTCATTTCGGAAAGCAATACGATACAGTTAACATGATGAATAAACTCATTTCTGTTACACCATTTTGTTTTGTTCACGACGAGCTATAATATTTATATGTTTAAATAGCCAATTAAGTATTTATTTACCTTGGCATTCATCAGACGCAATATTTGAATACTATTTTCTTCGAAATTCTAGTCTAAGGTGAATACCATTTGTCTCCAACAATAATGGAAGCCAAATATCAGCACGGTACATCAATATTGTGAAAATTTTCCATTAAAATTCAACTATGAGATTCATTAACAATGTTCCATTGATTTAAATCATCTTTTAATTAGTGGAACTTCTTATTTTATCACTTATTCTATAAAATTTTGCACTTAATTGACGTTCAAGTATATTTCTATACTGTCTGTCTTCGACAATCATAATCAAACCTAGAAATTCTAGAGAGAAAAAAACAAATGATGCGCAATATCAATATAAATATTGGCATAGAACATCAAGCAATCATTTACGTAAATGAAACAAGTAAAAAAAAATTGCCATTATTGTATGACCATTTTAACCAATCATCTTACAGAATAGTACAAGCAAGAGAGGGCTTTTATACTGTAATAAAACATGTTGTATGATAGATGAGTTTTTTTCAAGGTTAAATAAAAACAAAATTCAGTTCGGATACACATAGTAGAATTGGTGATAAAACAAAAAGTTTAGACTGATTAAAATATCCTAAATAACTGTATTGTACGGTATTAACATTTGAATAATAGATTCCATATAAATAAAAAGTGATAGTACTAATTAATTGAATTCTTGGTTTTATTCTGTTATTTTTTACTTGGATATCAGTGTATTTTATGTTTGTTTCCGTTTCAATTCATTCTCATATACATATGTTAAATTGATTTTAAAGCGAGAATCATTGAAAATCATAATTCACAACAAGCAAATACAAAACAAGATAAATCATGTGGATATGAGATTGAAAACAACTGGTCTCTATTTTGTCTATTCAAAAACTTGAGTTGAATTTCATTATTGCGTAAACAGCTATCTACCATTTTCGAATCAATATGGAATAGATAATTAGTAAAAGCTTGAAACACTACCACAAGAAATTCACCGTCAAAAATGTTTGTTCATTTTTTTCCCGATGGAACCATAATACAATCGAATTAAACAACAAAAAGTAATTATACTTTAAATATTATCTCTAAACTAGTAAGAATTTACAGATCAACATAAATTAGTTCAATGCTCTTTTCTTTTTTTCTACAAGAAACTTATTCAGATAAGCTAAATTTCAATTGAAACTACATGCGAACACTTTTATTTGTTGTAATCAACTGAACTTCAATTAAAGTGAAGCATAACATAATATAAGTTTAATTATCTAACATCAATTGCTCTGTTAATCTCATATCGGCAAAAGTTGTAAGAATTTGTTTTATTGTAACATGGATATCTATAGCAAACGCTGTCAAAGTCTATTCATTTCGAATTCTTCCTCTGCTATGCATTAAAGATTCAAGTCATCGTTTTTCATTTAATATCATTTTTTTTTCTATAACATAAATTCTATTTGTCGAAACTATTCAGATGAAGTACAAAGTTCATGATTCGATAGAACTCATCATATTAATATAATATAAATCATAAAACGGTGCCCAAGTATTATTACAGCGATGATTTAATAGAAAGAAAATATGAATAATAAATGCCTTCTCTTTCTTCTTGATTTAGATCGTGTTTTTTTTTCTTTTACAAGATATTACTCCATCACTTCTACAATCACACACTCAGATCAAGAAAAAATAATCCAATAATGTTTAATTGAAGAAAAAGATATTGAAAAATCAGTTAATTAATGTGTTGCACAATTGACCTGTGTTGGTCCACCCTGATGACCTGACTCATCGTCGTACATTTCATGTCTATGTGCACGTTGCGATTGACGTGGATCATATTCAACTAAAACACATTCTTCAGCATTCATTGGCACATGAACTTTTGTACGTTCTGGTAAAACGGCTTCTAATTTTGCCAGGTTTTCTTGTTTTAATTCATTTTTATCTGGAAATTTGACATCAAAATGTAAAACAAGACGACCTTTTTCTAATGGATTTCGATAAACAGGCATTCCTTCATTTAAAATACATTTTATATCTCCTGGTTTTATAATTTCACCTGAAATAGATAAATAAAAATAATTATTTTCATTTCAAATTGTTTTCTTTTCTAGCTAACCTGGTAGTGTAGTAACAACTAATTGTCGATTATCAAGTGTTTTAATAACTTTATGAAAACCACATAATGCTTCAGTTAATGTTATTTGCATTTTTATATGTAAATCAGTTTTATCTCGTTTGAATGTCGCATTTTCTTTTTCATCCAAAACAACAATAATATCACCTGGTTGAAGACCTGGCTCTTGATCACCTTCACCGCTAAACGTAATTTTCTTGCCATCTTCCATACCTTTTTTCGGGGAAAAAAAGAAAAACATTTTTCTAAAAAAAACTGAATAATTCATGTAATTTTTTATTACCTTTATCAATATGAACTTCGATAATTTTTCTTTCTCGAACAATTTTTTTGCCATCACACGATTTACATTTATCTTTCGCATTTATTTTTTCACCTTGACCATCACAATCTGAACAATGTGATCGAATTTGTTGAATCATGCCCGGTGCTATTTGATTAATACGAACAACAAAGCCAGAACCATTACATGTTGTACATTTCGATACGGCACCTTTTTTTCCACCACGACCTAAACAAAAGAAAACATTTCAACAAACGAATGGTCTTCATTTCTTTTCATACCTTCACATTTGTCACAAACAACATTCTTTTGTAATGCTAATTTTCTTACAGCTCCATTATAAAGTTCTTCTAATGAAACCGCTAATTGATGAACGAGATTTTTTCCACGATGTTCTTGTCGAGTTCCAAATGGACTTCCGCCGCCACCAAAAAACATATTGAAAATATCGAATGGATCTGAACCATGAAATCCACCAGAACCAGCTCCTTCTTTCATACCTTGCTCACCAACTTGATCATATAATGAACGTTTCTTTTCATCAGATAAAACTTCATCTAAACAAAAATTCTTCATATATTTCTTTTTCTTCGTAGCTAAAAACTTACAGGCTTGTGATAACTGTTTGAATTGTTCTGGATCATTATCTGGATTTTTATCTGGATGTAATTTCAAGGCTAGTTTACGATAGGCTTTTTTGATTTCATCAACTGTTGCAGTTGGTGGTACACCGAGAATATCATAATATTTCGTATCTTTAACCATGTTGATTAAAACTGAATGAACAAGACAGACGAATTAGTGAAAAAACAACGATCAAATGATCTAAAAAGAAAACAGCAAATAATATTGTATTGACGATGAAGAAGAAAGAATGAAAGGAAGAAAGGAAAAATCCAAAGATGTAATAATGACTCAGACCAATAGTTTTGCAAGATTTTAGAGAACAATAAGAGAACGAAATGGCTACACGAAATAAAATTTGTGTTTCTTGAGAGAAACAAATGAAGTAAACATCTGATAACACACAAATTGCAAAATAAAAGAGAAAAGAGAAAAAATACTGTTTTCATGAGCCTTCATAGATGAAAAACAATAATTATTTTTAAAAATTCGATAAAAGACCATCGAATCCATTTAATGTTCGTGTAATTAACCGGAAATGTTGTTTTAATCTTGACCAATATAATTGTGATGCATCACATAATTGCGTTTGTGGATCAGTAGGTATGCCGAATAGAAGATTTGATAATAATGGAAATGGTACAGCGGTATTTGTTAGACCAAAAGCTGGTCCAATCAGAACATGTCTATACATAAAATAGTTCATTTCTCCTGTTGTACATAATAAAGTAAAAATAGTTCTTACTTATATGTATTATCTGCTGTATTTGTTCGACGTAATTGGTCATCATTAATAAATAAACGTTCAAATTCAATAAGTTTTTCATTGAATATTTGAAAACTGAAATAACTTTAAGATTAGAAAAAGATGACATTTTTTTTCTTCTGCATCTATCTCAAATATCTTAGTTTTCATACTTATTCTTAGGTATTTGATCAATATTCGATTGAATTTGTCGCATCACTTTTGTTAATTGACTTATTATTTTCGTCATTTCATCTAAAATTGTTTTTATTAATACTAAAATCTACATATAACAACTGTCTTACTAGAATCACCGAGATGTGAGCCTAACGCTTGGTATGCTCTATCATAGTGAGCAAGATAATCAATTGTTTGCATATCAATTGAGTCAGCATAATTGGTTAAATCAAATGGTATTAATGGTTCATCAACAAGTTGACGAATTATTTCAGATACGAATTGTGCATAAGCAACAATAACCTTTTTGTAAAATAAAAAAAAAGTAAATTCAATTTGCAAAAATAAAGAAGAAAAACATACGTCTGGTTCGATTTCATGACTAAAAACAGGTGGAGAGTTTTGCAAATAGAATGTATCCTTGGTCAATGCCTAGAAAAACACAATTCAAAATAGTTTTCGTTTCGATCATTATGAAAACATCTATCATCGAGTAGCAAAACACAAAGAAATTCACTATTATAAATAGTCGAAATACTTTAAATTCTATGCAGTACTAATCAAAATAAATGCATATATAAAATGAAGGGAAAAAGACTGCTATTTAAAAGAAAACATTGTGTGTGCAATCATGCAAAGAAAAATTTTACTGGAAACTTCTAAATATGCAAAGTATATTAGTGAATAAGAAAGAACAAAAAGAAAAAAGAAGGAGAAGAATGAGAGGTAAATCCTGTTTCATTGAAGCATATCGACAAAGAAAAGATATATGTCGTTACATTAGCATGCTGCATGAGCATACTATTATATATTTGGAATGAGAAAACAAGGACGTTATTATTATTTTACCTAAATAATAAATTATAACTTTCATGCATGAATCATCTTATGAATTCTTAAAGAAAAATCGAAGGTTATATTCTTATTTTCAATAACTCTATTGAAACTAACTTTTTCTTTGCAAGAGATAAATGTATGATACCTGTTCATCAGTCATTTCAATAAGTAATGATGGAATTCCGTGTTCCAACAGAAATAATGCTGCTGCTGAATCGATATCAATCATTTGAATGATACTGGAGGTTTTATTTGATCCAATTCTATTGTTACTAGCTCTCATCCATTCATCAAATAATTTATGTGGTTCGCATTCCGTTTGTTCTTTATGTTCATTCGTTTCCACGTGATTTTCATGTTCTTCATGACGTCTTCTTCTATGAACATGAGAATGAGATTCAATTGTTGGCTTTCGACGATGATGACATGTATGATTATGAATAAGTGGACTAACAACAACATCGGCAGCACGTTGAGCAATTCGTTGTAGTAATGGTGAACCATGTAAATTGAGTGTTGAATTTCCAATAATACCATTTCCAAGATCAATATATGCAATTAAATTTCTATCAATCAGACGATAGTTATCTGAAATCCAACGACGAACTAAATATTAAAACGAAATTTATTTCAATTGAAATATTGATTTTCTTTTCTCACTTGTATAACGATCATATGATAAACCTGACCAAGCACAAAATAAGATTGATCGTCTAAAATAGATAGAATTTAGATATACAACCTATCGTTTTCATTAGATAATAAGTATTTTTGTATTCGTCATTTGTTTTCACAAATATTTTTCATATTATAAATAAAATTTCGTATTGAAGATCGAATAGATATATTCTGAATAATTCTTATACTATTCTTTCATTTCAAAAGGTCTATAATCTTGACAACATAATTCTGAATAATTTTTTCAAAGCAAATATCTAGATGATGTTGAATTACTTTAAATGTAGTATAATATTATCTATAGTACATAACTTGCTAGCCTAATGTTATAGACAAGCTTATTAATAAACGATTATTGTACTCGTGAAAGTCTATTCTCTAATAAATAATTGTCTTCATGCTATTACAGTAGTTTTGAATGTATCGTGTTCTTTTAATGCTCATGTTGATTGTTTTCTAATCTTTGCATTTTCGAACCATAGATAATTTGTAATCAATACAATACTTAACTATTTAGGATGTCCTTATAAATGAATTGCAGCAAGATTAAATCCGTGATATAGACATATATTTTTAGTGATATTAGTCTGAGCTGGACTGTATCACTAAAATTTGTATTTCATTCTGTATGAACTTAAAGAAGAGAAATTATTCTCGACTTATGAAGATTTTCAGGCTAGTATGATTTTTGATTATAACGTAGTAGCATAGTTTTGCTTATTCTCAGAATTGTGAAATCCTACGTGCGTCATAAAATATTAACATTGCTGTTTATGAAACATTATCAGACGAACTCAAAAGCAACTATTTTAAGAAGAAATCCAAGCTCAAAAAGATTCTTTCTTTGTAATCATAAAAACATGATTAATATAGAAATGATTTGGCCTAATTCGATTCTCATAAAAATTCTGGCCTCCGATTGCACTTCTTTAAAAATATAGGAATCCTTAGAGGATCAAGGTTGTCAAAAAAAAAGGATTTTCGATAAAAAATGGCAAAAATATAGGATGTTTTATACATAGTTTCTGCTGAATTGTTTTGCTGTTTTTTAACTGCTCTGCTCGAGAATCGTTTTAATGAAGTTGTTATCAACAGTTCAACCGTAGCCAAGATCCTTATGTAATTTTTTCTACTGAAATAAGTCGCTAATGCAAGGATCATGATAAAAGTTTTTCACAAATCGATAAATAACAATAAAGTAGATCATAAGCTTTAAAAAAACAAATGCTATTTCTCATAATAAAAAGAGACATTTCAGATTACGGACATGAGTTCCCAAAAAAATCTCAACCTAATTTTATTGTTCTGATAATCAGCATTCATCGCTTATTATTTGCCACAAGTTTATTTTGTATTTTATCATAACTCAATTTTTTCTGGTAATAAATAAGTGTCAATACATATATACAGGATGGCGTAAAATTTCACGGGCTTTCAGAATATGTCGTTACTTTTTAAAAAATATGTTCTTTTGGTAACAATATCCTCAAAATACAGACTGAAACTTATGTTTTCCAGGGGTATATATATAAATATATACAGCTTTTATACCTAACTAAAACTTCATTAAAAACCTGAAACTAGTACACGACCGATAAAATATAGGGAAAATAAGAATTTTTAGGAAAATATAGCACAAAAATAAGACGTTTTTGAAAATATAGGAATTATAGGAAATATAGGTCGAATCGCAACCCAGATAATGATACAAACATATAATAAAAACAAACCTTGGACGCCATCCATTTTTTATTTCACTGCCGTAAGCATGAATAATTTCATCAATAACTTTTTCTTGTTGCTTTCTACCAAGTTGATATCCAATCATAATAAAATGATCAACATCAATAATACCACGAATATAACCAAGAACCAATGGCAAATGCACGGGTACTTCTTCCATAAATGTTGTTAAATGAAGTTTTGTTTTCCGAAGTTCTCCACCTAATTTGAGTGAACTTGGTTTATTATGCCATTGAGATGGACATGGTAACCATGGATTTGAATCAAATGAAAATATTTTGTCGACATCTGAATATGAAAGAATCAAAACAGATATTTGTTGATCGTCATCATTGGAAATACCATCGAGAAAATTTTCTCGTTCTATAAAAAAAAAACGATATTTTTGCAAGATCTAATTTAATTTAATTTAATTTACGTTTCTCTGTTGATAATCTTCCCCATTCTTCGGAAAATGAGTGTCGGTCATTGGTTATTGTCATATTTTGGTTTGTTTGATCATCATTATTACTATCATCGTCATCAAATAAAACAAGTCCAGCAAATCCATAATGTATTGCTTGATGAATTTGTTTTGTTTGCGAAATAATTGTCAACTTTCTACGCATAAAAACAATGGCATGATTATTATTTTCAAAATTGATTTGATTCTTATTAATTAAATAAGCGAAATCTTCTTGGCGACCATAATTAGCATAATAAATATAACTTGCCATTACTTTTCCTGATTTAATTAATGATGAGAATGATAAATAATCGTTGGTGGTTAAAACATTAAATTTTTCAATTTCTTGATCATTTTTTCGATCAAGCAATTGGATACCACTCCATTGTACGGATGGAGCATATTTTGAAAGAGTTAAGTCATATGAAAGTTTATTTACACGATTAAATATACTTGATAGAGATTTCCAATTTAATTCTAATTTATTTGCAGCATCACTTTCAGATTCAATGGAGCTAAAAATAAGAAATAAAATTGAAACAACATGAATTTTTCGTTTTACTAAATTTTACCGATTGAGATTGAGAAAATTTGTCTTTTTTAGTGATTGAAAAACTTTTGTTTGGATTGTTAGATCAATTTCTGTTAAACTAGGTGAATTATAGAGTGTTGCTGAGGATGATTCAGCATCTTGAGACATCCGGTAAAGTAAAATTGCTACGCCAGTGAGACATCCGAGTATGAACGCGCATAATATAAGAATAAAAAATAAAATAGGATGAGTACTACTATTACTACTAGTACGACCACGTTGATAAGTTTTTGGACGTTTGGAAACAATGGGATTATTGATTTGATTAGATGTTGTTGTTGAAGATTGACTTAATTCATTAGCATCATCATCAGGCGATGCTAAAAGAAGAGCAGCTTTTTCTTCATTACCTAACTGACGCATGATTCTCCTTGCATCAATATGATGACGCAGCAAAAGGTAAGGTAATGAAAGAAAACAATATTATTATTTATAGGATGTTGCTGAGACACATGTATGACGTATCTATACTTAAAACTGAATCCAATATATAATCTTTTTCTTTTGACTCTTTTCATGGAAAAATTAATTCATGACAGTTTTATTGAAAATATAGTAATAATTTACTTTTATGATTTTAAAATTTATCTTAGATGTCACTATCAATCAATCAACCTTTTCTTTTATCAGGTGCGACACTTGAAGCTATTTAGAACAAGATCTGTCACAATTTTCTCTAGAATACCATCAGTTAATTACTAATCAATTGTTACTTGAAATACAGCTATAATTGTATTGCATTAAAGTGACTTTCGTCAAAGCTTTATGTCTTCTATTAACCAATAAAAGGGATATAGTTTACATGTGATACTGGACAGCTTTCGACAACTTTTGGTTAATTATTTTTTTCTGGCACGGATCGCGTGCAGATGTCAAATATGTATACCAATGGCATATATGAAAATCACATTTTAACTAGAGGTGTCCGCCGTACGGCTGAGCCACCGCTGTGAAAAAATAAGTTTAGCCGTTGCGCCGCTGCAAGAGATAAAAAATTTTGATAGCGTCATCCGCCGCTGCTGACATCAATACATATGCGATCGAATCGAACATTTTTCTTTTAATTTTCATCAGTAAATTTTTAACTTAGCCGCCGCCGTCGTCATATCAGGACTTGTAAATATCAACCGGCGCCGGTGCTGTGGAAAAAATTTTAAGAACTTGTTTCAGCCGCCGCTGAAGACATTACTCAGTCAAATAACGAGCCGCTGGAAATCTTCAAAGCTTGAAAATTGTTGCCCACCGTCGCCGTTCAACCCTTCGGCTGACACCTCTACATATAACATTAACTCATGTCGCTTTAGCTGTTTTCGAGAAAAAAGAATCTTTTATTTCGCACATTTGAAAATTTTTTTTTCTAGAATCTTTTTGTTATATTGCGCCATGTAAAACAAGATAGTTATGGTATCGTATTAAACGTTTTATACGAGAAAATTTCATATGCAATCGATTTATTTATTTAGGTGACATGAATGATTTTCAAAAAGATTTTGTCAATGTATAGTCATATCCTGTTTGATAGAATACGATAAAGATTTAACTGTCAAGCTTTGTTTTAGGGTTCAGATTATTAGATAAAAAGTATTGAACGTACGTTTTACAGATAAATTATAATATCGTTTTAATAATGAAGATTCGACTGATAATTGTAGAGATTCATGTGATTAGTATTAGTCTCTGAATTGAAACATCTATTTTATCATTGCATACAACCCAACTCATTATTATGTGACACAATCAAAGAATTTCAAGAATATAATCAATCGTTCTTGAATTTTACTTTGACTATTGAATAAAAACGCTTGAATATCGGCGAAAGATCTAAAGTTCAACGATCATCACTTTAGAATTGCATGATTGACATGAGAAAAATGGACCGAATATAGACAGCAAAAGCATGGAGTAGCAAGCAAAAAGATTGTTTGTGGAATATGATTTAATTAATTTCTATCATATCTCTACTTTATCATAATTTATTATTATTTGACTGATTATATATATATATATATATTTAAATAATATTTATATTTGTATGAGTTGTTCCGCATCAGAGGGAGTAGTTGACAAAGAAGAAGCTGAAGTTTCACTTATGCCAAGTCCAGCATCTTCATCATCATGATCTTCTTCGTCTTCGTCTTCTGAACTAAACATTTTCGATGTTAAATCTGATATTTGATCTAGTTCAGGGCCACTTTCATTGTTATTAAGATTATTATCATCAAAACATTGCTGATTACGTGCTGCTGCTGCTACTACTGTTGCTTTAGTAGTTGTGGCCACATCGATTGTTTGAGGAACATTTAATGATGGCAAACTATTATATAAAGTTAATTGTTTTCGTTGTTGATAAATGAGTGATGTCGATGGCGAAGATGACGTTAATATTGACTCGGCATCACAAATAGTTGATGATGAACAAGGGGTATGATTTGTCAGGTCAAATGTTGGACTTTGATTTTGCCGTAGTTTTGAAAGAGCTGTTGCATCGTTGAGAACAGTTGGAGTGACGAAAAGTGATTTTGGTCGCAATTTATCTGTTACAGTAATGAGTGTTGCATGTGCTCTAGTTGTGCCTGGTGAAGGTGGTGGAGGTACTGGTGCTTTGTGAGGTGTTTCCAAGAAGCAAACAGATGAGTTGACAATTGATGGGACAGCTTTTCTTGGAGTTATATGTGTTTGATTATATGTACTATGAGTAGAAAAACAAATATACTTTTTACAATTAGACTTGAAAGAAAAACATTTTCTTAAACATCTATTTCAATTTAAGGAAAATTATTTTATAAGATTAGTTTTGTTTTAATTAACTCATTTTAAGTATAATCTTTTTTAAAATGTGCGAAGTTTTCCATGTGCGTAAATCAAATTTTTGCATCGGTTTCAGAATCAAATGATTCTATGTAAGTGTAATATAGCAACTAGAAACTGATGCGAAATCAAACAATTCACGTCAGAACAAATAATAATTTATTAGATTTGCTTTTGCAAATATGCTAATGAATTATAATTTTAGTGAATAAATATTTGATCGCACTTTAGCATTATTTTCGTAAACATAAGACAAAAAAGTTTTCTTCTTACCTTGACGGTAGTCCAGAATGCTGTTGGTCAAGAATAATATGATTTAAAAATCGTTTAACTTTATCTTCTACTATGGATTTTTTATCTAGATCATGTAAAAGGTGTTGAGCTGATTGCTTTAAATCACTAAAAAGAAAAAGTAAAGAAAACCGATGTTTTTCTTTTTATTTATGAACAAATTCTTTATGTCTTCCATACTTGAATTGTTGTTTATATAGTATAATTTGTTGTTTTTGTTCACCATAAGATAACTCAAGTGTATGATTTCGATTAAACAATGTAGCAAGATCATCATAGACATGATATAACTTTTGTTTTAATAATAAAATTTCTTCGCGAAGAAGAAAACGATTATCAGTTGAAACCCATCCTGTATGTTCAGCAAGGGAACGAAGATTCTATTGTCATAGAAATATTATTTTTTCTTTAAAAATAAAATTCATTAATTGAAATCTTTACTTGTTGAGCCGATCGTTGTATTAGACGAGCATTGTTACGCTCTAAACTCTCTATTTTTTCTTGTAATAAATCACATTGCATTTTTAATTCTTGATTTTTTACTAATAATTGAGAACACTGATATTGATTTGTATCATGGTTTTTCCGTACATGAATATCTATAATAAAAAAAAGAACAGATTAATATTAAAGGAAAGAAAAAATGAGTAGAAATCAACGGACATGTTTCATCATTGTGACGAGTATCGAATTCACGCAAATGAACATTAGTGGTTTTTAATTGTCTAAAAAAACAGTACAATTATTGAAAAGGATTTATCACTTATAAAATTACTTTCGTAGTTCGAAGATTTCGTTTCTCAACGGTTCTAATGACAATTGAAATTGGATATCATCTTTAGCATAGGAAAGTGCGGATGAAAGTGAACTTTCAAGCTCATTCCATAAACGATAACACTCTGGATCTAAATAGAAAAATTAATTAAGAAGAAATTTTGTTTTTATGACAGAATTTTTACCATTGACTGTATTAGTATTTCTTGCTCGAATTAGTTTGGAAATAGTTCGAATACGTATTAGATGGATAACGAATTGCTCAATAATAAAATGTGTCTGTTGCTTATGCATAAAATTAGATAAGGGTAAATCTCCACACGATGAACTTCGTATAAGTTCTTGTTGGTTTTTTGTAAGACGACGGCGACGTCGATTTGGTGATAAAGGAGATTTTTGTCGAAATTTATTATTTATTGATGGAGAATTTTTTATTGGTGTTGTAGTACGATGATGAATATTTTGAGTTGTAGATGAAGATGGAGAGCGCGTTTGATGTTTACGAGATTTAGTTGAACTTACACGACTTTTTAATAATGACTGGTCCTAAACACAGAGTAAGATTCTGTGAAGCTTTTCATCGCAACAGAACAAAGTAAATGTGAGGTATTATTAATATAGAAAAGCTAACTTCTGTCAGATGCATTATCTGATTCAAGAAAGAATGAGTCTTTTTCTTCTATTGAAATTTATGATCCTCATAAATCTTCTATAAGACATTCTCAACGAAATATTTATTCGTAAGAAACAAACCTCAGTAGTTGTTGTTGTTCCTGTTGATGATAATAAAGATTTAGTCGGTGAGTATGAAGATCGACGTTCTTCAAGTTCAGTGCTACTACTAATATCTGAAAATAGAATTTAATAGTCATTGTGCATTTCTATTGTGTCACAACTAAATAAGTATACTTGTTTTAATGAAAGACGTCTTTGAAACAATTGGTTTAGCATTTTGTTTTTTTATGCGCGTGTGTATTTGAGGTTGTTGTTGATTTTTTCGATATGTTTCACCAATAATGGATGATTTCGAATTTCGACGTGATTCTTTATTTTATATGAATATTTTTCTTATGAGCTGAAATAAAACGAGTCGTGTCTCTTACCTTGAGCACTAAGTATATTACGTAAGAGTTCGGCACATTTATCAAATTCTTTATTAGTTCGATAAACAAGTGTTCTTGACATAGGTGGTTTGACTAGAGAATCAGGTGGTACTACTAGTTGGTGTTGTTGTATTAACACGGTGTCGTTCTGTGAGGAAATGAGTAGAAAAGAAAAAAATGTAGAGAAAATAATCTCTATTTCTCTTTTAAGCTCACGGAAGCCATCATTTCTATTTCCTGAATTTAGAATATAAATGGCGGTTTTAGTAAGTTAAAATCTACACTTTAAATTGATAAATAACGGATGAAAGAATAATATTCACGTTGAGTTTTTTTTATATTATTGTGACATTGATCAAGTAACATGATTCACTATTAGACCGCCTATGTGTATGTTTGCTCCTCTCGGGTTTATATAGACAGAAAAAGCAATCCTTCAAAATGCATTTTTTAACGGAAAAAAAATAGGCGAGTATGAATGAGAAGAAGTCGGAGAAGAATTTGAATGTTGCCTTGGAAGACGTATCGAGAATTGAGAAAACCATTACTAATTAGGTATCAAACGTTCTTATATTGTTCGACAAAGAAAAAAAAAAGAAGAAGACGCTTACTTTCATCTTACGATAAACGACGGAGACAACAGCTGTTCTTTCTTTTTAGAATGACTGTACTGTTGTTGATTCAACGGGTAAATGAACTGCCATCAGCAACTTGAATTTGTTATTCTTGCAATGATGATGATTTAAGATATGTATGTGAGTATAGATGTAAACGTGAATGTATATATGTGTCTATAAGAAAGTGAAAGAAATTCTAGTCAAAATGAAAAAACACCCCATTTTTTTCTCGTCAGTCGATGTGGATGTCGATGTCGTCAAACATCTGAAAGAAAGAATTGGTAGGAAGAAGTAGAAAAAAACCGAAAGGTGAGATGTATGCTAAGAGCAACATATGGGTGAACAAACGGCTGTTGTTTATCATCTTTTTTTTTCTTTCTCTGTCATTTATGTCTAAACATTAAAGATAAAAATCTTCTAGCTCCGAAGAACATGCTTAAAAAATTATCAAAGAACTTGAATTTTTGAATTTTTTTCATTAAAACAAAAAATATGTATGAATAGCAAATTATAATGGATGGTACTTGACGTTAATACAAATTCAAATCCAAAATATGAAAAGAAAGAAAAAGAGAAAGTCATCATGTTATTGGTACAATGTACTGTCAGCTAAGTAAAGAGAATTCTTTTTTAATGCTTTTAATTTAATAAATATCTCCAGGTAAGAAAGAAAAGTTTTCTACTTATCTCTAACAAATACTCAAGTTAAAAAACAGCAGCAAAAGAAAAAGAAAAAGAGAAAAAGTTAATTGCACATAAAGAAATCAATTCAATCGCTGCAAGAAAAGTAATGCTGTTAACATCTATATTTTTTTCTCTTGTCGATTTTAATTTCAAGTTAAAATCATGAAACAACGTTTTAAGAAAACATATCTAATCGTTCCGTGTATTCTTAAATGTTGTTATAGTAACGCTAATAAAAAAGAACGATTTCAAACGGTGCTTCTAATTTACATATTCAATTTATTTTTTGTTAAACGTACCAAACATTTTAAAAATCAGACGTCTACGTTTGAAGATTGTTTGAAAAAGAATATTTTATTTCGATTCCGATTACATCAATGCATGAAATATTTATTCTTCAGATTAAAGTTGTTGGCCTAGTTTCTATTTGTTTTTGTTACTTGTTACTCGTTAGAACTCTGATTGACATGAGAAAGATAAGAAGAAAATCGAACTAATTAATAAATGAATCTTTTGAGTGTAAAATAAACTTAAAACTAACAATATGATCAAATAGAAGAAGAATTTGTCGATGACTACTTTTTTGCTTATGATCATAAAGAATATTTGAATAAGACAAAAAGAAATCGTATACTATGCGTAATAGTATTTAACTCCAATGATTTTATTACAAGTGTTTGGACGACAAAAAAAAGAGTTTGCAAACGGAGTAGGAATTCATTATTTTTTTTTCCACAATATTTTATCACATATTTATACAGCGTAGGAAGTTTTATAGAGACTTTGAGAGTATACGATTTATTATGAATTATTCTATTTGAACAGCTTTAATCAATATTTAATGGTTACCATGTATTTAATGACGAACATTTTTATTGAAACTCGTTTTTCTTCTTAAATAATTGTGTTTTACTTTCATTTTGTGAAAGAACAGTATGATCAATAGAAATTTCAACAGAGTTTTCTATGATTGTAAAACTCATTGCCACTAAACAACAATAGCTAAAATCAATAAATGGTCCTTCTTAATTGCTTTATAGTTTTATGCACGTCCAAAAACGATGTTATGTAGAAATCAGTTGATTTACAGTTTAAACTTTTTTCTATAGAAATGATGATTTTGATAGATTTATTTTTATTTCATTTTTATTTAAAATACAATGGGGATGAATTCTTAAAGTTTTATTCACACGAGATTTATTTTTTGTTGTTGTACTCTTCATCTTTATTTTAGTTTCTAGGTAACAATTGAAATACTTTTAACATTTAATTAGAGAATAAACTAGTGGCATAAAAAAGAAAAAGACAAAAATGCAAAAAAAGAAGAGAACAATATGACCTTCTTCCTTCATCTCATATAGCTTAGTATCAAACAGCGCAGACAAAGAAAAAAGGAATATATATATTTTTTTCAAACTCAATCTACTTGGTTAATAAAGTTTCTCTCAGTGTAGTTATGTTGAAAAGAACAATCAATTGCAACAATTGAATGTTTTTTGTGAATTTCATTTAGTTTACTTTTTTTCTTAGTCCAAGTAATACAATAACAGCAGTAATATTGATAGTACATATATCTTGCTTGGAAAATTCTATTTCAGCAATCAAATTAATTTTGAAAATAATATTTCGACGTTAATGAAATCGGTTATTTGAAAAATTTCTCGGATATTTTAGTCAATAAATTGTAAGGTATTTCAAAAGTGCATATTAATGTTTTCTTTCATTGGTAGAAATAACTCTTCAAAATGATGACCTTCAGTTCAAATACTTTAATGTATTATTTCAAAATATTCAAAGCGAAACAGTAAAAATTTCTAGATTTTCATGAACATTGCAACTCAATCTTTAGTTAATACTAGTTTTATTGCTAATTCAATTGAAATGAGAATCACTCTGCTTTAAAATGAAAATTTGACAGCGAGATCGTTTGTCAATCTTTGAAATCAAACTTCACATAAATTATTATGATCTCTTGACTATGATTTGTTGATACAATGTCTGAGGGTAAAAGAAACATTCAACCATACAATAGAAATATTGAGATCTTTCATTGTATCTGATGTCTGTTGATAAATTTTAATTAATATTTTACTCTAAAAAGTAATAAATATGTGTTGAAGAATAAACAAATCGTTGATTTATTTAATTTAATAAATAATCTTAACCTACATCTTCTCAAAATTTTCACCTCTAATTGTAACAACAATATATTTTAATGCCAATATATTAATTAAAATCATCTTTCTGCGAAAAACTAACTGATTGAAGAAAGTAGTTTTTTGTGATGTCTGGCGTCTCGTTCTGCATAGAATAAAAAAAATTCTATTTTATGAAGTCTACTTTATAAATTTTTTGTTAAAAATTCTTCTGTCACAACTTCCAGGTAGATGAGAAATTCTAAAAATATAATGAAACACTCAAACAATTACTACCGCTTGATCGCTTTCGAGTCTATTGAAAAACAATGACAAAAACAGCTACGTTCGCGATGAAGAATATATTAATACGCTTGAGAAAGGAGCATGTTGTGCTTGAAAAGCGCCCGAAGAATTTTTTTGCAATACTCTCAAGTATTTTTGTGATAAAAATCTATTCGTTTTTCTTCGCATAGTTGATGCCAAAAACACTCTGAGTAAGCCTGTTGGGAGCTTTTCAAGCGCACAAGTAGTTTTCACAACATATTTTTAATATAGAAGTGACTGATCGAATTTCATGCATTGCTAGTTTAAATAAGTATGAGACAAATTTATCAATATTGTTTGACATTCTCATTGGGTTACACGTTCATATAAGGCGTGAATTTTATTTGCTTTTTCTTCATAAACTAGTTTTAATCTTTGAGAAAAAGATCAAATTTTCTACCTGGGTGATGGGGCAGAGATCGTGAAATGCAGCTATGATACATCATTCATTTGACTTGATTTTACATAACTTGAATTCGCCAGTTATGAAATATTTCTAAACGATGTGAGCTTAAATGGATTGTCTGTAATCCAAAGCAAGCTTATTACATTTTCGATTGACGCTGAACTAATCAAAATTAAGATGAAAACTGTTTAAAAGCTCATTAGTTCAGTGACAATTTTAGTAAAACGTTAAAGAATTCATTTCCCGCATTATTTTGATGACACTTTCGTACTTATAATAATGTAAAATATTAGCATCAGAACTATTTTTGACAAAATCTCTTTTTCTTTCGTATCATATATCCATCAATATTAAGTTACCTTTTTGAACCTCAAGAATATTACTTTAGTCATTCATCCTTTCATGGGGTATGTTCTGAAATTTCAAACGCTGGTTCGAGTCTAATATAGGCCAATTTGTAGAGTTCAATGAGACTAGATGAAATATAGAAATGTTCTTGTCGATAAGTAATCCTTCTAAATTATGATCAGTTTATCGGATTTTAGGCGTCCAACAAAACATACGGTAAAGGACATAGAGTATTCTACAGATATCAGTCAGAAAAATGTTTTATTTTTGAGATATTGAATATGCAAGAAAAAAGGAACATGTCTAATGAGAAAAGATTGGAAAAGCGATTATCTTCAACATTTTATTTCACTCAAATAAAAACAATTTTGTGATCTGAAACTTTTAGAACATCTTAATGACTCTGAGATCTTTGTATGGATAAATTTTCGCGTCGATATTCATCGAATTGAGTTTTCTAGCGCATACTTTGTTAGGTGTCGAAAACTCAATAAAATGGTTCTACATATTAATTTATATCAGACTCAAAATGGGGTGTGACACTTGAAGAGTTTTGCTCGTCAGTAAGACATCTTTTCAATTTGCACGTTTGAAAATAGTTCTAATATCTGAATTTCTGACCAGTGTATTAATTATTTCACAATTTTCTACAAGATATTTCATATTCCTTGTCTCGCTCATATTATAGTCTTTTGAACGACAAGACATTAGCGAAAACAAAATGTTACATATTTTCATATTCAATCATAATCGTCTTGTGAGAGCGTGTCTAAAAATATTCTGTCGTCGATGAGAAACATACAATATCAAATAAGATACATGTTGAAAAGTGAGTATTAAAATTTCGATTATTGGTATATCTGAAAAGTTTTTCTCAAGCAAACTCTTGTTGCATAACATATCATCGACTGAAGCGACGGCGCAATGTGTTTCAACGTCGTCTAATCACTATTCTGAACTCTTGATCGTATGTTTTCGAAATTGAAACAAAAATAAAGAACACGAGTAATGACGGGATGAAAGACACGAAATAGCCAATCAATAACAGTAATGGTTCTCTTGCTGATTTCATGCATCTGAATGAGAACGAAAGATTAAACTGGGCAAACCTAAGATAATCAAGAAACTAGAATTAATAATCAAATGTTTATGAGTCTGAAATTGCTGTTTTATATGTTTCATGTATGACTCTTGATTCTTGATTAATGCACGTTGCTTGGCAATAGAAACGATAATTGATGCAGATGCAACTCAAGGCAATGCTTTTCATCTTCACATCGATATATCGTATATAATCAAGTTTTCCATCACATATCTCTCGTCAATCGAAACACATGAAAGAAGGACCACGATCACATTTCATGTGCATATAGCAGGTGAAATTTGCGTAGGAATAGCCTGTTTGTTTCGAATGGAATGTTATATTAACAATGTTCGAAAAAGTTTGATTCAAAGCAAATTTATATTGGCAAAATGATTCAAACCATAGTTCGGTGCAATTCTAAAAACGTTTGGTTGATGAAAAATTACTCATCTGTAAAAAATTTTGATAGTGTTCGATAGGATCAGTAGGGGTTGACCATTTTTATAGATTTTCAACTTTCATATTTGCATTTTTCAGTTGGTCAAACATTAATATTGATGACATATGTCCGTGAACGATGTTACGGTTTTCAGTTGAAGATAATCGGATACAATACTGAATAAGTTGTCGAGTTTTATACATTTTCCCATCAAACTCTGGTGAATCATTTATTGTATGATACATATAATGCTGTGAAAATTCATTATAGATGATATCGTATTGTAAAGATTGTAATAATGTTCTGATGTATTTCAATAAGAAAGTATTACGATGAAAATGATACAGATCTGAAGAAGTTTCATATTGATCGTTTCCAATCGAATTTTTAAATAATATTAATTTTTCTTACTCTGCCTATAAGAAAAAAATATAACGAAAACAGTCTGTTTAACATTATGAATTTTGTACAATTCTATGAAACAAGCGACTTGAAATCAACTAAGATGACAGTAGTTAATTTTGTTGGGCAAAATGTTTTTAAGAGGCACGTCAAGAAACCTGCGAACGATAAATTTTACAACGGATTTCACTCATTAATTCATTTGAATAAGATAGTTGAAGAGAGTTATGACCTATCCCAATAGCTTCATATATCATAAGGATAGATACTTACTCTTTTTAATGTATTACTTTGCTTTGATTGCAAACAAAAACTTTGCCGTCTTGTGTGTAACTGACCTCTTCGTAGAAAAACAACTTTTTTTTATTGAGAGAAATTGCTGAGAATTACTTGACGCTTATTGTTTATTATAAAACTTCAAAGATGAAAAGCTAATAGGCGACATAGTGTTCATTGAATGCTGACTTAATCATAATGCAACATCAAAATGATTGCAGTTTGAATGAAATAAAATTGTCAATATAGATTTATAATGATGAGTCTAAAGAAGAAGAAAATATCAATGAGACGTCTAAATTACATGCATCGACAATGAAAAGCAAAATTTTTGACTCCTGAACAAACTAAAAAATGCTAGAACGTCATTGATCAATTTGAGATTACAAAAAATGGCAAAATTTCTGTCTCTCAATTTATGTTGAAGAAAGTAACTTGTACAGAAAAAATTTCAAATGCAACATAAATTAAGAAAAAATCTACAGCGTTTTTGAGCCATAACAAAATTTGAAGATCTAATACACTGTCTCGTTGAGGATGATTGTTGACCAAAATTGCTTCTTTTAGTTGATGAACGTAATGGAACAAGGGTATAAATAACAGCATACTTTTTAGTCAGCCTAGTTGAGAAAATATTGAACAATGTGAACTAAACATCGAACTGGAATTTTAAATACGTAACAGAATCATCAGCATGCAATGAATGGCATGGTGAATAATGATAAATTTAACTGTTTGAAGTGGAAAGAGAACAACAACAAAGCATTTAACAACGTCATAGAAAATTTTGAGTATTTGAGTAAGAATATCAAGCAAAAGACAAAAGCTACCAGTTACTACTTGATCACCACATGGACGCTGAATTATTGTTCAATATTGTCAATATACGAGATAAACTATTGGAAGAAAAAAAAGAAAATCTATGTACACTGACGATAGAGAATATTTAGAAAGATTTTGAGATGATCAATATCGAAACTATGATGTTAGAGTTTCGTTCAAGGTTGAATATTTCTTTCTAATAAAATATATACAATTTTTAAAATGACACGAAATTTTGCTAGAAATCTCATTTATGAACAGCTGACGTTAAAATAAAACTGTGATATATATGTTTTAGAGTCTTTTGTGACACATAAACTTCTAATATTTCGAGTAAATTTAAAAACAAAAACTATTTTCTTCTAGATGACAAATAAAAAAAAGATTAAAAACATATATATTCTATACAATAAAAATTTTCAAATAATGTCCAAATGATTCTATTGTTAAGCTACAAGGTTAAACAGATTTAGCTCCTGATATTTACGTTCATTAAAACATCCTTTTTATGTTATGATAGAAAACCCATTGTTCTGAGTTTTGTTCGTTCAACATAGTTGCCATTCCATTAGTTGTTCTCTGCGTAAACTTCTCTATCGTTGAAAGTGAAATGGATTCAGTAAAAGAACTCGAACTAACATCTTTCTTTGTATTTTAGGGATATCCATCGAAATTTTCTCTTTACTAATAAATACGACTTTTCGATAAATACGAGATTGTAACAGAATTTCACAAGCCACTTCGGTCCTTCTGTGATATTTTCCGAAAAATAATTGTAATTTTATTAGCTTCGAGAAGATGATCATGTCATGTGCGTCAGCATTCAATAAACGCTCTCATTTAATTTAAGTAAGATGGATGTTGTTCGCTGACGTCATCTGTTACATGCTGTCAGATATTGTATGACAACAAACAGTGAATGCACCGCTTCAATGTGAGTTATTTTCTGAATTTTATTAAAAAAGAACTAAATTAGCAACCATTTATATTGTCTTTCTAATAACATGTTTTCCCATTGGAAAAATTTAAACTCTTTCAATCTAGTTAAAGATAAAGATATTTCTTTTTGTAAGTTTTAGGTGAGAATAAACTTCTGTGTGATCCTATTCATTTTAGTTGGTTACGCCGTTGGAAAAAATCAGAATTTTGTGTCGTCACGTGACATTTCTTTTTGCTTACTTTAACAGCATATATACTAAGACGATCATAAAAAGATGAGTAAAAATGAACTGTGAAATCCTGTTTATATGATAACTACACAATTTTAATAGTAATAAAATCATCGATATTCTCTTACGTTAGAGGCTATAGATGCACTATTTATAAGTCACAAGTTAGATGTAGTATCTAGTTAGATACCTACATATCTCACTGAAATATTTACGAGAATTATTCTTTTTACACTAGTACCACTCGTGCTAGGTAACTCCATTGCCAATCAATGGTTCGACGCTGTCCACATTTTATGAGAGACATTAGTCTTACAGACGACAAATTTTGGTTGAATATTGCCTGCGTAGAAAAGCTCAAAGTTCTCGTGTCATCACAATATTGTTATTTTTTATTCTTGCATCAAAACAAGAGCAAAAGAAAGTCTTTTTTGGTATTTTCTAATTATCTTTTTTATACTGACCATTTTTATTTTTACTGCGGTTCAATAAGAAGAAGACTTATTTTCTGCTTGATGCGTTCATAAAATTCCACGGTAGAAAAAAAATATTATGAGCCTCACCTAGCCTAATGATGCTCCGCCGCCCCTGGATATGATTCAATATCATAAGATGAATTTATGATAAGACAGAGTACACTTGCTTGATTCTTAATTTCTTACATTTTACATTTAGTTAAATGAATCCATTCAATAGTGAATTAAAAAATGATGACTGACTGAACCCATTAGATCAATTCATGATTATAAAATTCAGTAGAAACGAGTTGCAACACGTAAATGAATAATATCACTGAATTAATCAAATAAATAAGCATGCCCAATCAATATGCAACCTTGAAAACTGATAATATTTAAATGAATTATTTTATCCACTCTAAATAAATTAATCAATATATGCAATATTAACTACATTTTCGTATGTTCAATAGTTATCGTCTCTAATGAAGTTAGTCCAATGAAAAAAACAACGAAAATTGCTAAAGCGATCAACAATTTTCTAAGTACATGCAAGTACAAACAAAGAATAGATAAAACCATAGTTTTCTTTTCATTTACTAGTTTCTACTTACTGTATGATAGATTTTTTTCTGATTATGATTGATTTAAACGACAGGAAGCTTTTTATTTCTTGAGAAAACTTTAATAATCTTATTCAACGACAGTTTATTTCTTCTATTTTAAGCAAAAAACACATCTGAGTTACTACGAGTTTCACTAGAAACTGCAGACCATGAACGCCATACATTGCTATTAGAAGGATCTGGTACAACTGAAGGATCTCGTTCAAAAACTTCTTTCATATATCTTGCTAATATTTTATCATTATTTCTAATAATCATATAAAGTAAAATAAGTTCACCATAATTAAATAATTTAAAGAAGCCACTTATGCCAATTAATGCACTATTTAATATTACATAAGATTCATTCAATGAAGACTTAGAACACGTAAATCCCATGGGACCAATCAAAACAAGAAAACTAACAATAATTATGGCTGTTGCAAAGAGAGTTGAACAAAACTGAATAAAAATAGCAATAAGACAAGCCATTGAAGTTCGTCGCCAAATGACTAACCAAATGCTAAATGGAGATATAATTAAGAAAGGAAATGACCAAAAGCCAATACCAAAACGATATTCACACGTTTGAGTAACAGTTAATGCTATTTGTAAACCTAATATAATAAGTACACTTACTAATTGTGTAAGTGAAACTGAAAAATGAGTAAGAACATTTAAAATAGATTGAAATTCGTATCGAATATGATCATCAACTAAACCATGCCGCATTGTCAACGAACTAGTCGACAAATGTTCATATCTTGATACTCGAAACAACTTGAAAAGGTCATAAATACGATAACGGATCTCACTCTCTCTCTTTTGTCTTATATATGTATATCCATAAAGAATAGAGAGTAAACAATAGATGAAAAAGAAAAGAATTTTAAGTCATCAATATGAATACAGCTTAGAGAAAAGAACAAGACAGAACATAAATCACTTTATACTTGTTCACTTAGTACTCATAAGATTAAAAATAACATCAATCGAGACTACCATCGAATTCATAGAAGCCATATTATTCCATGTGTGTGCGTGTTTGTTCAATTCCGATAAATACTTGTAATTAAATAATAAATTCAAGATTCTATTTTTCATTATCAATTCTATTCATTGAGTCCTCCGGAAAGTTTATTTTCCGATACGATCACATCCACTAGTATAGAATCATACTTTTTTGTGTGATGTAAGGTAGATTGATTCGAAAACAAATGATGTCTTTACAACTTATTAGTCATTATAAACTTCTGAATATTCGAAGTATTTAGCTACATAGAACATACAAGAAAAATAAGTGCCGACTAAATGTTCATTAAAAAGTCATTATCACTTGGACATGAACAATAAAACTCTCGAATAATTCTTCGTTCAGTCTACTCTTCGTTGGCAAATTATTATAGCCCTTTTCACACACATACGTGGGCATAAAAAAGACACAGTAAACACCTATGTATTTAAATAGGTATTAAAGATGAAAAGAAAGAAAAGCATATACAACAACAATGAAGTATGATCTTTTACGTTAAAACTAATCATAACAATTGATGACACTTTTTCTTTTATATAAAATTGAGATGATGCAATATTCTAATTCTTAGGAGATCACACCATGAAGACAAATATGGACCATTATAAAACACTGATTTGCAAGTTCATTCATAGCAATACTTTCTATTACAGGATAACGCTAAGATTAAAAAATTTTCTCAGAGACATTTACTTTAGACTAATGTGTGCTTGAATGAGAGTAGTATATTTGCTTATCGAAAGATAATATATGCTAATCGATAATCTTTGGTTTTTTTTATAACTATTACATAGTAAACAACGATGAAAGTCTTTTTTTGTATTCTATAAGATTATTCAGGGCGCTAATTATCGAATTTGGTAGCTCACTCTTGAACAAGAATTGTCCATGTTATAATTACATGTTTATATATTTATTAAATAAAGGTACACACAGACTACGAAGAAACATAATCGATGGAGATTGTTTTAATTGAGAAAAAAAAGAACGCTATTCTTTAAATCAGTAAAATACAATAAAGCTGGCAATGCAATGAGAAAAGTGAATGACATATTTATACAAGAACATATACATATCCTATTTTGTAAACCGCGAGTAATATTCGTTTAAAAATTAGGCAAACTGTCATCTGATCCAAATGTCATGAAATAGATTGTAATCGTTGTAAAAATAACTAGATTAGCTGACATTATGAATGCCATTGACCCAACTTGAATCTTAATTGAAAAAGTAAAAATAAAATAAAATCATCTAATTGCAAAAATCTACTACACATACGATAGAAGTTCGATACATAACTGCTGGTAAGCCAAATGCTGAAACAACAATAACACTTGTAATGAACCACATTAAATCTGCGCATGGGCTTGTGTCACGCATCGTATAACTACTATCGGATGTGCATCGACGTCCAATAGCTATCGGTATTGGGGAAAGTACATAAAATATTATTACAAATGTTGGCCACCAATTACTTCAAAAAGAAAATAAACTAAAGAAACAAATCAACAATAAGATAAATACATACTATTCAGCCAATGCACAACCTAAGATCAGTAATGTAAGACCAATTGAAGCAAGAAAAGCAAGAAGAACAACACTATACACGATAATAATAAGAAATATTCATATTTCATCAGTTAAAATACTTGCCCTAGAAATAAAAATGTTAAATTATATTTTTTACATGTTTCTTTTTTTTTAGAATGAATATTTTACCTTTAATGCCTTGAAAAAAGCCCATTATTGATTGAATGAATACTTTTAATCTAAAAGGAACTTTTATTCTAATAGCAACAATTATGGATAACAAAATGAAAAATAAACAAAAGAGATAGAAATCCAATTGGTAGCTAACAAATGGAAAAAAAACTTGATGAAAATGCTTGTTCATATATTAATTCCATGGCCATGGATTGACACGATTTTTACGCATCAGAAATTTTATTTTTCGTTCCATTTCATTGTTATAAATTTCATGCGCTCTAATGACAATAAAAAAAGAATTCATTTAAACAGATCAATAGATATAACTGTACTTTTCATAGCAAAGTCGACCACGTTTACGAAATGGTTTTTCGTATCGTTCCCACAAACGCGCTGTTTTAAAGACACTTTCATTATTTAAAACTCTAAAACCGAAAAGTCTTCGATATTTTTTTTTGTTTTTACAAAAATATACTTTTACCGATTTAAAGCTCGATAAGCTAAATCTACTTCACCATTTCGAACCCAAACTGTTCGTGCCAAAAACCTTGAATGAACATTCCACATCTACAATATTTAGATGGCAATTTTAGCAGATCATTTATTTCAACAAAAACATATGAATTCATTGTCCAATAATTTGCATTTTCTTTCCGGATATGAACAATAGTATTCAATATTCAAGTAGACTCATTCGATAGACAAATTCATATTCTATCAAAAATTTGCAGCTGAAACATGATTGTGAGTTATGTTGTTATTTGCTATCAAGAGTCATGGAAAAATTTAAAATATGAATTACAGTTTTAAACAAGTAAAACGAATGTTGAACCTATGCTATTCAATAAATGCTTTTTCGTCAACTAGAGCTAGGAATGTGCAGTGTAGGCGTAAATACTGAAAAACTGATCACCGACTACACCGACAGTGTGCTCAGTAGTGCACCGACTACACTGACGGCGTGCCCAGTGGAACACTGGTCATACTGTAATCAGTGTCACTGATACCAACTTCACTGAAACACTGACAAACCGACAAATTTTGATTGACTGAAGTCTTGAGTCAATCAGAAAGATATCGGTGTATCAGTGTTTCACTGAACACACCGTCGGTAGTCAGTACACCAACACTGTACATCCCTAACTAGAGCTTAACCATCATAATGGATGCAAAAGCTAAAAATTCATTAATTCATGCTTCATAAAACATACGAGTCAGCGACATCATCGGAATCTCATTTATTCAAGTGGAACCCGAGTGTCAATGGATGAAATCTATTTTCTACGATAAACTTCATAACATTAGCAGACTATCTAATGAATTTTGTTCTATTTTTGATCAAATAAATGATTGGATCAGACTATTTTCTCATGAAACTTCAATCTGATCTATGAGTTTTCTTCGTCCAAAAGATAAATGTGTTTTTGCTAGACTCGCTATCGTTGCTACCAAAAACAAATGACTAACAAACTTACTAAATATAATTTAAAAACGCAGAAAACTTCTTGAAAATGCTCGTGCTAATATTATGAAGTAAAAGTTGCTTTTACTTTTAAAAAAACAAATTATAGAATATAATAAATATTATTCTTCAATAGAACAGTGAATCTTTACGAGTTTTCTATAGTAGACGACTGCGATATATCAATACACTAAACTCGTGATGTAATCATTCGCTAGAATTATGAAACTAAAAGCAAGACATCGGTATGAGTAATTTTTCATCGATCTAAATGTTTAGTGAAACTTAAACAAACAAATTTTAAGATTTATTTCTCTCACTTACGAGTATTCGAACTCGATAGGAAATCAAGACTTTCATTCCGTAACTAATACCAATGCAAAGACTAAATTCTATGTACACTTAGAGGTTTTTTTTGTTGTACGAAAATACGATGAAAAAAAATTATCAGTCAAGTTTCAGTTATCACATTGTGGAGAGAATTCGATATCGAATGAATCTACTTTGATAATCAGCCAAATAAGATAGACAAAATAAAAATCTTGTTAATAGATTATTATCTAGAAATATATGGAAAAAAAACAAATACTTTCGTTTGACATTTCATCTGTTATTCAGTAGTACAAAAACGAAAACAATTAGTATTATGTAAATTTCTATGATTTAATACTACTGTATACACAATAAGCAATAGAAAATAGAACAAGTAATAATGTACATTTATATTTGTGCAACATCTATCTTCATTAAAGTTATGATCCCTAAGAGATTGAGACAAAAAAAATAACATTGACTATGTCGGATAATTCTATCAGACAAACATTTGATTTTGATTTTAACGGGCACACAGAGAAAATAATAAAGTAATATGAACATGTTACTGAACTACGAATGTGGACGGAAAAACACTCGTTTCACACGATTAGCTAATGATGATTTTATTTTTGTTGATTTCTAAATATTAAAAACTGAATTTTATTATAGCAATTCTAAAATGAAAATAATACCTTATCAATGTTTGTTGGTTGTTCAGTACAATTATTTTTAGTAATCGTAGTAGTAATAGTAGTATTTGTATTGTTTGGAATATTTTTCAGTTCATTTGCTAATCCAGTTGTACTATATGATTTACGTCGACGTGATGAACTCATTGTAGTTTCATTTTCATGATTTATTATCGAAGCTGAAAGCGTTCGAAATAAACGAGATTGTCTTTTTGAATCTGTTTCTATTTCTTCTTCTTCGTCTTCTTCAGATGAATTATGATTATTTGAAAATGAAAAACGAAAACGAGACCGACGACGTGTAGAAGATTTTTGTTTATTATTATTATTATTCAGATTATTTGGTTGATTTGATTCATCAGTTTCCATCATGTCAACAACAGATTGTTGTTCTTTAGTATTATTACGAAAACATTGTTCAACTTTTCGAGCTAAATCATCATCAAATGTTGATATTTTATTTGTTTGCTGAGTTAAAGACGAAAATTCTTGATCATCATCTTCACTATTTGTAGAAGGAACTGGAAGAATTTCAAGTTGACTTTTTAAACAAGGTGCTGTATTATTTTCTTTTTGTTGATTGATTTTTATTATTTTACGACGCGGTGTATCATCGAGCATTTCAGTTATATCATCTGATGCAGGCCTTTTGGGAGTCTAAATCAATATCATTGAATTAATTTCAAAATATGTCAATATATAAAGAAGAAGAAAATGAATAGCTAGATTTAAATGTTGAATATATTCTTTCTAGAACTATTTTCTATGAATGAAAAAAAATGATCTATTTTTTATTCGTAGACATCGAAAATATGAAATTTATATTTAAATTTTGTGCTCAAGACTACATTACAAATCTGCAAAGAAAGAATCAATACTCATACAAAACCCTTTTCGTATCCTTTTTTAGTCTTGGTTCATTGATATAAGGACTTTCATTCGGTTTTTTGCTTTATGAGCATATAATTCTAGATACCTTGAATGATAGAATAATCAGCTAGAATTTTGTCTATAGACGAGTTTCATAGTCATTAGTAACATGCTAGAATTGTAATCAGAACAACTACATCGTTATTAAGATCTACAAATTAGAATTTAAAATATGTATTTTTCAAAACAACGATATTTTAATGATAAGTTAATACCTCAATGGGTATTCATTTGTCTAAACTCAAACTATAAGATAATTTTTCGTCATTATCAAGTCGATCTTTTAGTTGAAAGTTTAATCATTCGAGTAGCATCGTATTGCCAATTTATGATCAATGAACACATATTTTGCTTTAGAATTCGATAGAATATTATCTTCATGATTAAAAATAAAAAATTAATTTATGCCCATTAACATAAAAAAGAATTAACATGGAAATGAAAAAAAATAGTATTCAAAATTCTTCTAGCTGTTCAATTCTCATCATTGAGAAATATTCTCGGTAGACAAAAAAAACGACACTTACTCGTACAGGTGTCGATCCATTAGATATTGGTGCAAGAATATGTTCTTTGCGTTGTCCAACACGTTTAGGTCTTTGCGGCGTTTCACCTGTAATCATAGGTGATGCTTGATCTACTTCGATTGTACCATCCGTACATAGTGAATCTAGACGAAAGCGAAAGAAAATGAATTCCTGAAATAACTCAGTAATAAACAACAAAACTCACATGTTGACGAAGACATTTGTTTTTTCTTATTCAAAATACATTCACTAAATGGTGGTCCCGGTGGATCGAGCATAACTGTAATACAAGTTATATTATCAGCACGTAACATTCTTTCTTTCCATGAAACTAATGCTTTTTGTACAAGTTCATGTGATGGATTACGAAATGGACGATCATCATCATCCTATTTAAATAGTCGTTTGATCGAAAGAAAAAATTTTGATCTACAAACCTCAGAATTCAAAATCATTTGTTCGGTTTTAACATCACAATTTCTGACAATTTCCACTGCTACTTCTGGTGTTATCATATTCCAAAGTCCATCACTAGCTAATATTAAACATCGATGTTTATTTGGGTCAATTTCAATAACTGTTAATTCAGGTTCCGGTGACACAGAATAAAGATTTGTATGTTTATTTAAACTCCATAAATCTCCTAATGCGCGTGATATAGCTAAAAATGGTATTTGTTCATATTCATATGCTGTTTTAACATGTTCGTTGCGATAATAATTTGATGATGTAACTGACTTTTGTCTATTCCAAACAACTCGATGAACACCAGCTTTACAAAGAACGTTTCCACCACTTTCACGTATACGCTTTAATTCAAGTGGATCCTCTGGTTTATGATCACGTGTTATACGATTTGCTTTCCAACATTTATATAGTGCTGCACCTTCACCTATAACAATCGATGAATCTCCAACGTGTCCAATATATAATTTATTTCCACGTACAAATACAACACTTGCTGTGCAACCTATATTAAAAAAATAGATATAGATATTGTTTGTTTTCTTTTTTTTCATTTCAATAAAATATTCCTGGTCTAACCTGAAGTGCTTGTTAAACCAGATGATGTTTTTGTCCATTTTTCAACATGATTCCACATATCATTGTGACATGAAAGAAAACCTTTTCGAATAGCTGATAGTATTTGTTTATCATTGGAATTTTCTGACCAAAAATCATCTTGTTCAAGAATATGTTGACATAAGTTTTGACGAGCAAATTCAGCAGCTTCTTTTCCACCGTGACCATCAAATATGCCGAAATAAGCTAATGATATTGGACTTTCTTTATCTAATGGATTTAAACGTTGAAGAGCAATAGCATATGTGTCCTCTAAAAAACAAAATTTTCATGCCGTTTAGATATAAAAGTTTTTGATTTACCCATATATTTTCGGCCACCTATTAAAACCAGAAAAAAATCAATATTACAACAGAAATATTATTGTATGATATTTACCTTGATTACTATTTGTAGTAATCCGCAAATTCACTTGAACGCAATCACTCATCTTGGTCGTTGTGTTGTATTTTGAGTGAATGAATGATCAATTTCACACAAATATCGTAGAACAGTCAATAACCAATCCGAACAAAGCAAGTTTTCCTTCACTATTTCGATTCTATATTTTCATTGGATAATTAAGTGACTAATACAATTACTTCTCATTCTTATAGAAATACCAACGCGAAATCAACCTACTAAAATTAAAATCTACCTTGTATAAAATTGATAATCGAAAGAAACACTAGCACGTGAAAAATCAAGAGTAGCCATTTTTATATATTTTTATAGCAGTAAACTTTAAATTATTTTTACTTGATTCAGCTTGTTGCATAGAGATTAAGATCATACAAAATTTCGTTATTTAAAGTAATATAGTTCTTGTTCGGCATCTATATTTGAACGAATTCTTTGTTATCTAATAATTCATTGATATATAATAGAGACTGACACAATATTTATAGCAATACTATATTGATTGCCACTCAGAAAAGAGACTTGACATGAATAGCTTGAATTCAATTTAACTAATTACTATTTTATCTGCTTGATGGATTTTTGTTTTATTGATTATGAAGCAAGGAGAATAATGTTCATCAATTTAAAAGAGCTCGTCAAAAATCATTAGTTCAAATAATAGACAACATAAACGACTTATTTGCTATTGTTTTGTGAATGAAAATATCGGTTAGAAGCACAAAACAACTTGTAGTTTGCATCATTCGAAATTCATAAAGTTGCTTCATGTATGTATACGTGAAATTGTTCTTAATATTCTATTCATTTTTCTTATCACTTTATTTATAATAAAATCAAGAAAATAACAAAAAAATGAATGTATTTCTATTACAAGTTTTTTTAATTTTGATCTATACGAACTCTAAATACATTATCAGTTTATCCTTTGATAATAATTCTATATAGTTTTGAATATAGTTCGATGTTTTACTTTTGTGAAGATTATTTTCTTGATTTAGATTTCTTATTGAACAACAGTTATCTATCAATACATATTGAACTAATCTCAAATTAATTATTCAATTAACTTTGAAGGAAATCAATTGATTTCTATATGAATAAATCTTGTTTTTCTTTCATTTAAATTCATAGATAAGATTCGTTCATGAATATACGTATAACAATGATTATAGATGTTATCTAATAATCTATTGAATGTTGCTAATGTAGCACCTGATTTTTTGAAAAATTGCCTTTTCTCAGAATAATTCAGATTTAAAATTTAAAATGAAAGATGTAAAGCATAGCTACAGTTTAACTCCCTACATCAGATTCTCTTGATTTTCCAGTCATGTATATGTTGTAGGCAAAATTGGAATTCAAGCAAATTCGGAATTTGCCTAGTCAAAATTAGAATTCTGATTCTGCCTTGGCAAAATCAAGATTCTAATTTTGACCGGATTTTTTTTCAGGCAGAATTGGAATTCTAATTCTGCCCGGGCAAAATTAGAATCGGGCTAGAGATAAATTCTTAATAAGAAAATAATCAAAATTTAAGTGTTATAACTATATTTTATTCAACAAAATCTTTTTTTCTGAACATTTTACAATTAGAAGCCTAAACGCTTTACTCTATTCATCCATATTTTTACAACAACCTCGTTTTGAATGACATTTTGTCAAACAAAAAACTCCATTTTATTTACATGGACATTGTTTTGAAACGCATTTGCCTTTATAATCGCAAGTGCGACCACTTGTTGATGCACGATTTTCCCTTAGCTAATAATAAACATTTAACAATATCATCATAAACACATTGTTTTATAACACTTTTCGCTCGAAATCTTTCACTCAAAGAATTATTATGTTTTTCTAATTCTTTATAATAAAGTGATTCCGCACTTTTCACTTCGACAGTTGTTGAATCCGATTGAGACATTTTCTATAAGATTGTGTGAAGCACGTATCTCTATATTTATACTGTTTATCGATACGTCAGGCTTTTATCACGATTTTCTCTTTTTTTCTCATCTACTGTACGTTTACTAAAACATGTGACTATATGAATTTATCTCTAGCTCGATTCTAATTTTGCCTAGGCAGAATTGGAATTCTGATTTTGCCCAAGAAAATGTTAGTCAGTATTAGAATTCTAATTTTGTCTAGTCAAAATTAGAATTCCAATTTTGCCCGGGCAAATTCGGAATTTGCCTAGATTCCAATTTTGCCTACAACATATATCTATCTTACGTGTAATAAAATACCAATGAAAGACAAACAAAACAAAAACAACTGAAAGAAATATCAAAACTTTAATGGATAGCGCCATCGTTCTTCAGATTGTTCTATGTTGACATTGTGAAATAGCAAAAAACCAGTATATATTCTTGTTATTTTCATTTAAAATTTGTTCGGTCGGTAAATCAATTGTAATTATGCGATTGACAGAGGATATATCAATAGAGATGTTTGATGATTTTTGTACGTCTCATGGCCACATGTATTTCTGTGTACACACATTCGCGACAAAAAAGACGTGATGTATAATCATATATATATAAATGAGAATATTATATAAAGATAGAGCAATAGCGTCTGATGAAAAGGGCCTGGCTTTTCAATGAAAAAAATATTCTCTATTCGATCTATATTTTTGATGGAAAGAAAAACAGTTGAAACGTAAGCAAAAAAGTCGCGCGGATGCAAGAAAATCATAAAATTAATGGTTATCATAGGTTGTCTAAGCTTCTCTGCTAAATATAGCTGACCGAAAAACTGAAAATGACGCCGATTCAATCTATTTATTAGGTCAAGCTTGTAACTTTCTTATACTGATCTTTGGTTCGAAAATAGTCAAAAAATCGCTTGCCTAGAGATCTCTAGTCAGGCACTACTACAATTCCAAGAAAGTATTCACAAACGCCAAAGAGATCCATTGTATGTTGAGAACACCTCGAGCTTTTCGAATGAACGATTAATGCAAAGACACAGAACAAGATGAAATAAAGATGTCAACAGCATGTACTCGTAACCAGATGAAGAGTTGAGCAGCTACAACTGCAAAACACATTCCCATCCGTTCTTCAAAAATCAATTTCAAAAATATCTCATGCAATAATAGTAGACTCAAAAACAAAAGTTGAGATGTTTCAAATTCGATATCATGGAAGAATAACAAAACTAAAACTTTCATATTACACGTAAATCAATGCTTAAGATCATCACTATTACTATAATACGACAGTAAAATAGCAGAAAAACAATTAGCCCATTGACTAATAAGTTACTGTAATCTGATAGGTTAGATTAATATTTTCTAGATTGATGAATCGAGTAAGATAAATATTTTAGTAATAAAATTTATCATTTAGTCATTTAAATATCCAGACACAGCAGTTACAACAAGAAATGTGCATCTTTGTTAGGATACAAAATATTGTGTGTGCGTGACTTTGGTCTCTATTTATATTTCCGTCTATTGTCGATCGTTTCAAGTTCTTGGGAGATTATGTAAAAATGAGATATGTTTTTCAATCTGTAAGTTTGTCGAGATGCAACACTGGACAAGGCTTATATGTCATTTTCGCCGTGAATATAAATGAACAGAAAACGCAAATCCTTCTACTCATACCTTATGATCATACTCCGAAAGTGTCGCTTAAAAGAGAAAATTCACCATATGGTTTTCTACAGATCAATATGGAATGAAAGTTTTTGTAATATAAATGTAGAAGGTTGTTATCGAAAAGTTCAGAGTCATACGTCGCTACTGCTTTCGCTTAGGGACGACGACAGCATAAGGGTGACACCTTAACTTTATTTTAAAAGTTAAAGTTAACGTAAAACACTTTAAACTTTAATACTTTTTTTAGAGTGCTTTAAAGTTAAAGTGCCACCCCTACGACAGCATCGTTTAAAATGAAACTTTATTGATTTTGATAATTAAAAAAAAATAAGATTTAATTCTTTTAAATCAAGACTAGATCGTTCAAAATTCAAAATTCAAAATCACTTAATCTCGAGTGAAAAAACTGATCATGTTTTGACAAAACCATCTGAGAATTGTGTTGCTTTTATTTTTATTTTCATTTTCAGTCAACTTGAAACATGAGGATCGATTTAGTTAAAAATTTTATACAAACAAAAGCTCTAGAAAAATCCAAATATCGATATTTTGTAATGAAAAAATGTATTGTGTAAAGTTGCATATGGCTTCGTATCCCCAAATAAGTTCTATTAACAATATTTAAATGCATAAAAAAATTTCAAAATCTGGCTTCTTGAAATAAATTATTTATTTTTAATTACAATAACCGGCATAAAAATACGTAATGTAGATATTGTTGTTTGTTGTATCGTGTATTGATTTAAAAAAATGATGTAAATTGTTTAGTTTCTATCATTTTCACATCGAAATTCTTCTGTTTAAGTTAACACATTGATTGAAACTAACTAATCGTGGTGGTTAACGCCCCCTATAATAATTTTTATATGATGTCTAGTAAACACATAAACTAATAGCAAGGATATCTCGTGTGGTCTTTACGTATAAATACATGAAAACATATCATTCGATTTGTGGACCTTCAAAAACAATGAAAATGTTTTTTTCATTCATGACTCATCTATATCGAATAGAAAATAAATCTAATCATGTGGATCAGTCGTTTAGTTTATTCTTTATACTTAGTTTGACTCTTCTAGCGTTCATATGCATAAAATTTATCTTCTATTTTGTTTTTTTTCCAAAACGTGTTGATTTGTGAATGAACAAACGATTTTATCTATGAAAATGAATTATATGTATTAAATTTTAGACACAAGTACAATATAAAACAAGTCAAAATGGAGATCAATGATCAGAACCTTGAAGCACTTGCAAATTATTTACGCAAAACCTTATCTCCGAATGGTGACGAAAGAGCAGAAGGTAAAGTTTCATATATAGTTGTTTATTTTTCTTTTCTGAACAATTTAATTTTGATTGATAGCTGAAAAAACTTTAAAACAAATTGAACGAAATGAAAACTATTCATCTTTACTATT